AGTCATTTCCTGCTCTTCTAGACCGTCAGTGCAGGAGATTTCAAATCAGCTTCCCAAGAGAGTGGTCCCAGACAACCTGGTGCAGCCATCTCCCCTTCGACACAAGGCCTTAGCCCCACCATGAAGTCTGCCAGCCAGGGTATCAGTTTGTGCGGCCATGGCTGTGTTACTGATGTTCCAAATGGACAGACAATTGTCCATTAACAACTAAAATGAAACTCTTCGTTCATTTCATACCAACACATGTTTAGTCTTGGCAATTTTAAATAAATTCAGTTAAACATTCCAGTTTTTAATAATTCCATTTTAAATAAAGTCTCTGAAGGGAACAGGCTCTGTAGAACAGGATTATCTGTGTAAGTCTTAACTGGAACATTTCTTGCTTTAAAACTGATTCTTCTTTCATTAAAGAAGAAAACTGCTGAAATCCCATGCTCCCTGTGCTGCAGTAACCCAAACCTCTCTGCGTCTTTCCTCAGCAGAGAGCTACCATGTGCACGGGGAAGTGTTCGAGGTGCATTGGGATCACCCTGTTCCCACTGGCAGCATGTGCCATAGTCTCCAATATCCTCCTGTACTTCCCCAATGGACAAGTTCTGCAGCTCAGCGAGATAACCGATCTGGTCTGGTTTTTCCATGGCATTCTGGGAGCTGGGATACTGGTAAGAAAGAAGTGTTGCTACTGTTTCTTATAGGGTGTTTTTTTGTTTTGTTTTGTTGTAATTTCAGGGCTAAGAAAACCTTTGTTAACAAAAAAAAAAAAGTCATAGAACTGTCTTTTGCATAAACTTGTGAGCAGCTTAACTGGGAAGTTGGGGTTCAGGACAGAGAAAGTACATTCAAGACTGAAAAAGTCCCTAATCACAGGAATACAAGGTATTCCTAAAATAAATGTCAGGACTCCAAGTCAGGAGGAAGCAATAGGACTGACTTCTCATTGTGGAGAAGGGGGACTTGGGTGTTCATGTCTCCATGAGTCAAAGCAAAGCTGAGGTCCTAAGCTTAGCTGGAGCTGGTGAGTTTTCACTATTGGCTGCACCCCCTCGTTACTCCTCTAACTGATTTTATGCTCACGTAATTCACAAAAAACATTAAGGGCAAAATTGAAACATGGTTCAGTAGGTGTTCGTTAGAGACCAGCCAACACTCAATGAATGTGGAGCTGCAAATGGCTTAAACCCCAAATGCCCCCTGTGTTCCCACACACCCACCTACCTCCTTTTGGGTTTGGTCTGGTTTCTATGTGCTCTTCTATAACCAGTTCTCCATTCCACCACTCAGGAAAAATTGCTTTTATGTGAATATCCATAACTAGAAGGGAACATGTTTGGGAATACTGATCTTTCCAGTTCATTAGAAAGCCTGCATCCAATAATCCACCCAAGTGCAGATAAAAAGCCAAGCGAGTAACATATGACAAGTACTGGCTGTTACGCAGCCTAGGCAGATGGTAAACTGGCACAGTCACAGCCAGTTACCTGCACGTCAAAAAAATGAATGTTTAAGAATAATTAACTTAGAGAAAAGCAAATCTCATTCACAGTCAGGCTATGATACAGCTAACACTTAAGTCTATGGAAAAGCTACAATGGATTTGATTCAGACTCATCTTTCCCAAAGCAGAAACATGGTATAAGATCATTCAATAAATTGTTCTCCACCAGCAGCTTGGCTGCTTCTTCTTCCAGCTACCACTTGGGCCTATTACTCATGCTGAGCTTGAACGTAAGCATGAGTTTGTGGAAGGAAGCCTGAAGGAAGCCTAAAGGAAGAAGTGGAACTACATGACAGACCTGTGGAAAATTCGTATCACTGCAAGCCCAGGAGTCATTGGCATTCAATGAAAGGACAGGTAGATGTTAGGAATGAGAGCATCACAGGCTCAGTGAAAATGTGCCTTCTTTTAAGGCTTCCACAGAGGCTTGCCTATGGCTAGCACTGCATACATCAAAAATGAGAACAGCAAGTGAGAGGGGAGGGAAAATTTGCATTGACCTTCAAAAGACAGCACTAGGAGTAATTATTGATCCACAAACAATGCTGTTGAGTGTACATGTTTTCCAGAAAACACCATGACAAATGCCCACAGGTGAAGAGAAGGTAAAAGAAAGTATTATCATCAGCTCCATTTTCCAGGTGCTGGAAGCATGGAAAAATGAAGACTGGCTTCTGGGCCTCATAGGGAGCTAAGCAAAGGTCAAGAGTGCCCCATGACTGGAGCCTGGGCCGTATCCTGACTCCACAGTGAGGACAGACTAGGCTGCACTGTGTTCCCCCATGCACCCAGCTTCTCCCCAAAGGAAACTCAGGAAAGTCATGCCAACAGGTTGCCTGACCGCGGAGAATCTCCCTGTAACCAGGACACAGCCTCCGGAGCCAGGACTGTGGGGGAAACTTCATAAAAGCCCGGCCTGGCTCTGTGAGCCAGAAAACCTGCCTCCACCTGGGACCTTCATCCATAGACTGATACCTAGATCATCAGCACACCCTTTGGCTGAGCAGCCAGCCCCACCCTTTCCTCCTCCTCTGCTGCTTCGCTAATGGAATTTTATATGACATGAAAACCTCTCCATTTCCTTATTTCAAAAGTTTAGGGTGTAAAGAGAGGAAGACTGGCTCCGTGTGTCATAGTAACATCTTTCCTGATGGAAAGCCTATGTGCAACACTGGGAAATGGCTGACTGAGCCTTGGCTCATGTGTAGCCCTCATTTTACTGACAACAGCCAAATCTAGCAAATTCTCATTCCCATGTCAAGAGGCAGGTGTTTATAATCAGGCACTGCAAAAAAAGAAAGTTGCCAAGCAAACCCTTCATCCTGAGCCAGGCTAATAAATGACACAAAGGTGTTCACAGCTTAGATGGGAAACCTCCAAAGAACAAAGACAGCCCTGGAAGAAAGGGAGTGTTGGTTTGATGGGCAGAGGTATTAGCTCTCCTTCTGAGTGCCAGACAGTGGCACGCTGGGGCTGAAGCTGCCTTGGGGACCACCTGTGATTATTTAAGAGCTGACTTCTTTCCACAAAGAGGAACGTCTTTTTAACCTCAATGCTCTACTTTTGCAGGCCTCCAGCTGTGATTCAGTGACCACTGCAGGTGCTGGAGGCTGCCGCTGGGGTGCGCATAGAAGGCAATGGAGAGAAAATCCTTTGAAAAAAATTTAGGGCCCTGCAAATCTAAGCAGGTTTCATAACACTGTCCTACACAGAGATATTCACACTACACACATAAATTCCCTGGGCTTCATTCACCACAGACATTCTGCTCTTCCTGCCTTACACGGGACAATGTCTATCCAACATCTAGTCAGGCTGTTTTTACAGCTTTTACCTTTTTTGTTTGTTTGTTTGGGGGGTTCTCCTTCTTTCATTAACTTTATTGAGACCATTTCCTACTTTCTCAAATACTCATTTTCTTGCATTGCTCTTTAAGATGCCTACACAACCAGTGGTGGGCAGAGGCAAGGCAGCAGGAGTGCTCTGGCTGCACAGCTAGACCCACAAAAGCTTTCTTGCCCTCTAGCTACCAAACTAAATGCAGCTTTTCCTATCTCCAAAGTGCCTCTGTAAGGTGGCATTATATCCTGAGACACAGATGGTTGCTGACTCCATTGTATCAGTCCAGCTCCACCTGATAATTACCATGGAGAAAGCTGATGTGAACTGGGAGTTCCCTGTTGAGTGAAGTCCATTTTGTAGGTTTTCCAGAAGCTTAGCACAAAGAACCAAAGTCAGATGTGTTTCAGGAAGTTTAAGACTGATTTCCCATTTATAATCCAGAGCAGGATGCTCAGAAGATTTAAAATCACGTAATTCTTACTCCAGTGATGCATCTTTTCTGAGCAGAAATTCCATTTTCTCAAAACTGACATGTTTGTTCCCGAAAAAAAACAACAAACCCCCGCTGAAAAGAAGCAGTATAGCTTCAGCAGCCTGAATTACTGTACCAGAAACTTGCCAACCAGCTCTAGCTGTAATCCCACACTTCTTCCTGAGTTACTCTTCAGTAAGCACCAACATCTAAGCAGGCATAACTCACAGAGAAGAGGCAGAAGGTAGTTCGCATTTGAGGAACATGATGCCCCAGCTCCTAGACTTTAAAAACCATCCCAGCAGAAGTACTGCACACCAATTCAGCTTGTGCTTTTCTCACAGGTTATTTTGCCGGCATTCATGATGCTGGGAGCAGGCGGAGCAGGATGTTGCGCTAACAGATGTGGGGTAAGTGGATATTTATGTGTTGAAATGGCACTATAGGGTTTGCACAATAGCTCTCAGATGGCTGCTCAGCAAGTGGAAACGTACAATGACAAACCATCACACCACCATCAACAGCCATGTCAGGGAAATGCAGAAGAAGAGCTTGATCTACAGCGTCCCTGGGCTGGGGCTGAGAGCTCAGTTAGCCAACAAGAATGTTATGATATCGCAGCCACTGATATGAGGGAAATCATACTCAGCCAGGGCAGGTACTGGAGCATTTAGTCACATCACTGAGGGCAGAGGGGGACAAAGCTACTTCACTTCACCCCACATAAAGTAAAGCATGGCTCCAGCTTCCTCCTGCTCAAGGCGATCCTAAAGACTGAGACAGGTACCTGTTCCTTCTGGTTTCACCCGGTCCTGTTTCCTCCATACCTTTCCATGGCAATTTGCTTTTCCACAGGTTCATCCCTGCTTACCTCTGTAGGGGCAGATAGGTCCCCTACTTTGCAGGCCCATGCTAAAAGCCTGAGCTGCTGCTGCTGGCACTAAGGAGCCAGCACTGCTTCCTGGAGGCTGGTCCCCATGGAAGGCTTTGACCCGTAGCACACATTTGCCCAAGGGTTATGCACATGACAAGGTGCAAATGCAATTTGGGCTCTCTGTCATCCAGAAAAAGGCCAGAGAGACTTTCTCCCTTGATAATTAAGAATATTATAAAGCAACATGTTATACAGGCATCTCCATTAATCCTCAAGCCCTGGGCACAGACTTCTATGTGGCTATCATTATTAGCAAGAATAAACTGACTTAGGAATTTTTTTTTAGTCTGTATCCTTCCCAGAAGCAGCCTGGAACAAAAGATTCCATACAATAAAGCATGTCTCTTCTGAACTCTTCAACTAATGTTTAGTTTGATCCATGAGAAGACCTTTACCTCTTCAAGATATTTTGCTTAAGTGAATTCATTATTCTAACATTCTTCATTAGGATGTCAGCAAGTACATCCCAAGGGACATGTCATTACATTGATTTTACCACATGTCACATGCACAGAGAGGATGCTAACGATGGCCAAGTAGGCCAGTTGCAGAGCCGGGATGTGAGCCTAGGCACCCTGAACCCAGTGCCTGAGCCAGCTGCTTCTCCTGGTTTTGAGTGATGTAGAAAGCGGTGGTGAAAAACAGCTGTACTGTGGGTGTTCCCATACTCTGCTGAACATGGTAAGCCACGAGGGGAAATTCAGCTGAACCAGGCTCAGTTCACACAGCATCTCAGGGCTCCCTTCTCCATCCTTCATCCCAGCACTAAATATTACAGAGCCAAGAGTCAAACTTCCCCAGACTGGCTGGGTTCCCTCCCCCCGTCCACTGATTCAGGCAGTAAGCACAGTGCCGTCCAGCAGCCCACATCCGCAGACCCCCCCACACTCCTCCACTCCCCTCCACCACCCTTTCGCTGTCTGAGCCATTCCTAGCAGCAGCACATGGATGCCTGTCTGCACCTTCCCATCACTGATCGGTTACCTACAAGCTGTTCCTCCTCTTCCTTATTTGCTGTTATAAAGGAATACAACAGACATTGTTGAGAAAGTAGTTGGATTATGCATTACAATATTTGTATAAAGAGAGCTAGCTGATGGCGAGGTGATGAAGCTACTCAAACCAAAATAGAGAATAGTCTCGGTAAAGACAGTGTATCTTTGAAAATGCTGTCTTCTGGGACTGTGGGAATTGCCCACCTCTTTGAGGTGGAAAGGGGTGAAGCTTTACAAGTCACTCTATGGTTTAAACAGAATCAATCTCAATGTAGAGATAAGATGGGGACATGAGCAAAGAGCAAGTGGCTATGAATGGCATTAAAAACAACCATTTCCCCTGCACAGCTCCTGGGGAAGAGTGATTTCCAAGCATTCAAAAAGAGGTGAGTATTACAGGGAGATCTGAAGGCTAATGATGTGCTTCTTCAGAAGAAGAAACCTCAGGGAAGCTTTGCTTTGGGGATAGAGGGAGGAAATGCACAGACACCCACAGCAGGGTTGCTCAGATGCCCTGACCGCATGGGCTGTATACTCAAGGCAGGGTATGGTGTGAATCACCAGGCACTGGAGAGCAGAGGAGCCCTGGGTCTGGTTCAAACACTCGTGATGGCAGCGACTTCCCAAGGTGCCAGAGCTCCTTGCGAGGTGGGTCTGGATGGACCTGATAGGGGTTCCACAGCTCTTGGTGGCTTGTCCACCAACTTCTACCTGCTGGCAGAGAAATAGCCCACACTGATGCTACTCAGGAGCCTCTGTAATCCAAAGGTTAGTTTGTCCACCTTTCTGCTTTGGGGACCTTAGGTATAAAATTATAATTTACACTGAATTCTGAGCATTGTTTTTCATAGGGAAAAAAAAGGCTAAAGAACTAATACTGGTCAGAATTATTATTCAATCAGAACATAACCATTTTCCTCAGGGTAGGGACTCTATCCTGTTATATTTTGTGCAATCCCTGGTTTAATAGTTTCAGACTTCATCACAGCCTTTACACACTGCTGAAGTATCAACAACAGTAAATAGTAATTACTAAATTTCTCATCCTTTTATTCACCTTATTGAGTTCTCCAGTTCACAGTGATTATGTGCTGCATTAAGTAAGTTTTTTCATTAATCCATTTTAAATTGTTGCCTGCACACATACCTAGATGGCTTCTTGTCCTTGCATTATGGAGTAATGATTTTGGAAAGTAATAGATTTAGAAAGCTTCCGTGTCTTGCAGCTTAGCCTGTACACAACTGAAAGCATCCACTGCACTGGCACAATGAGGAAAAAAGGCCCCCCAAAACACAGCTTCTATTGCATCAGCAAGCATACTCCAGTATTTCTCTCTAAGTCTTCCTTAAGAGTTACTAGTAGAACAAGAATAGCCATAACAGCTTTCCAGACAAACGAACCTAGATAAGCAAAGATATCTGGATAACCAGACAGGATATTAATTCCACAAAAAAAAACACCTCCAGAGAAAGAAACAGAGAAGAAAGAAATGTGCATGAAACAAGAACCAGGGCAATAAAGAGCAGCACAAGCTGGGACAGGAGGAACTTGGTAACTTCACCAAAGCAGCTGATGCAAATGCTCAAAGAATTAATGCTAAAAGTCTTCATCATTTCACCAGAGACAATCCAATTCTGTGAAGGATAAAGCAGGGAAAACATTAAAAGAAAATCAGCAAAAATGATCAGCTAAACCTTTGCAAGAGGTAGAGAACAGGCCAACACCATGGGAAACTAATTTCAACAAACTCAAGCATCCCAGCTTAGACCCCATGTTGCAACTGAAGACACAAATGAGGAAAATAAAAATTTAAAAAAAAAGGGTAAATTAAGATGGTACAGCTAGGGAAAATGCTGAAAGGTTGAGAAGATGTGATAGTTAATAAAATTGTTGGATTTCCATAGAATATGGGACAAGCCTCCAGAAAAGACACCAGAAGAGTAGATATTATGGGGAAATGCCACTGTGTGTCTCGAAAATGCCCAGGAGAGACAATTTAACAGCTGCAGCAACTTCAGACTCCCCTTTCAGTGACAAGTAGTCTTTGTCTATATAACATGTGCACAGTAAAGGAAATAGGTGAGATGAAGCTAGCCATACAGCCAACAGATTTCAAATGAGAAAGTCATGTGTCAAAGAATAGTCATCAAAGATAGCACTGATGAGTACTACTAGTACTAACCACTATCATAAAACATAGTAGTAGCAAAAGACCATTTAACTTTTTCTATCATAATTGTCTTTGGGATGCCCATACTGCTGTGCTGTGCTAAAACTAATCGCTAGCATAATTAAGATCCTTCAACCAAGACGCAGAATGCACAGTTGAAGTAAATGAGAAAATAGGTGGGGAGAAGTGGTTCAGCATAGGTAGGAGTTTCAGACAGAGTATCAGTCACTCACCTTCACCGCGAGGCATAGCTGGTGATCTTATTATGAGAGATGGTGCATCAGCTACAACCCAGCACTACTTTGGTCTGGGACAATATACTAAATTACCTACATTTTGCTGACAATGAAGCTCTGCTAAAAGGCAACTCAGCCAACATACAGATAAAGACAAAAAGACTGTCCAGCTTTGCAAAAAAAGACAGTTATTAATCAGTTATGATGAAATAAATCTCATGAGAAATCCCAGCAACTTCTAACTTAAGGATTGCTTTAGAGGCAAAAGGACACAAAAAATGAGTCAATTCACACGCTGGCAGCATGCAAGGTTGTACAGAAAGCAGTAATGTCATCAGCTGGCAAGTTGGAAACTGCATTCACCAGCTTGAACACGTTTGGATGGTGAATAGTTTTCAAGACTATGTCACAAATCTGCAATGTGGATGGTGGATATTTCCATTTGGCTCTGTAATGCAGTGCTCTGTGGGGCAGCTGGCATTAGGAGAAGGTTTCTACCTTCCTTGTGGGCTATTAGTTTTCACTGGTATTTGCTGGCAACAGGGAAATGTTGCCAGAGGTATTTGGCTTCAAACCCAAGTCATGGACGGGAGTGTTTCGCATGTGCTTCCTCAGCCATGCCTCTGCCCTGACTCCGAGGCAGTCCTGCTGCCTTGCCCCTAGTCCGGGTCTTCCCCTGGCTCTGGCAGTCTGCTCCAGACTTTTCTCTTCTCCTTCTTGGCAGACTTGTGAAGAACCACAGGCAGGGACTCTTAACAAGACTAGTGGGAAGCCTGTCCCAGATACACCACCAGTAGCACCTGCTTGAGATTCTTGTTTCTATATACAAACAGCAAGCAGATACATTCCATCCATTAACAGAAAACTACCCCAAAACAGAGAAAAGGTAACATTTCTGTAGGGGTGGCCAATGTAAAACATACAGGTGCATTACATTGCCTTGTCAGAAACACCGTTGTTGTCAGTGGGAAAGCAATTCATTCTGCTACAATTAGGCACTGTAATTCCCTCAGCTCCCTTTCCCAGCTTTCAGCTGTGAAGACTCTCTGCCAGCATTCACTGCACCAGATACAGGGAGAAAATTTTATCACAAAAGCATCTTTGAACACAGCACAAACCAGGAGTATTGTATTTTACAAAGTATGTTCAAAGCATTTCAATCTAACATTTCATGAAAGACATATCCTAGAAAACGCAAACCTAAAAATACAGGCTTAGGATCAATTGTAAAGGTTTTTAATAATTTTCCAGTATAAAATTTACTGCACTGACATGTGATGACATACCATGCAAGGTATGTTGCTGTTAACCCTGGTGTGCTGAATGGCAATTGCAAACTCCATTTACTTCGTTAAGAACTTCTGTAGGGAATACAAAATGGAGTGGATGGAGTAGTCTATCATGGCTCTAATGTTAAAAACTAGAGCTTCCTTAATTCTTATTCCGGTATTGCTATTTAAGCTCTTCTGGATAATTCGAAGTCACCGCTGGTTCGTTTCTACATGCAGCACAATTAGATTTCTCAACATGAGCAGTGGCAACCACATGTCATGCTGTTGCAAAATGAAGGAAAGCAGCAATAAGAAAGGCTCATTTGAATTCCTCATCAATTAGCAAAAACAACTAATGCATCTTCTGTTGTTTTCATACCTGGTTGGTAGTTGCTTGCTAGTTTCTGTTGGTACAAGGGCTGAGAAAGGTGCTGTTGGTGAAGAGGTGGAAATGCCAAGGCACATGATGTAGACCACATCAGGCCAGTACCAGCTTCATCTTGCCTTTTTGAAAGAAGACCACCAGATTTTTCATAATTGATTCATCAAGTATGAAACTCTGAATAATTAAAGTTCTGGGCTTACCCACTTTTAAAAGCAAAACAAATACAGTCTGAAATCCTTTCACATCTAGGATAGCTGCACTAGTCAGAAAAAGTCAACTATTCTTTATTCCCACAAATACCACATTATGAGTTTCAGCATATAGTAAGAAATAGGTAAAGATCGTTTCCGTCTCATTCAGTGTAAGCTTTCCATGCTACTCAGTGCCTCTGTGCATGCGATGTTGAAGGTCTTTTCCCTTTCAGATGCTGCTGTCAGTGGTCCTGGCTGTGCTGGGATTCGCAGGAGGAGCATATTGTGCGGTCATCTCCTCACTGGGGCTGATTGGGGGCCCTCTATGTGACACGGGTGATGGAGAATACCTCTACCCTTTCAGGAATGACACTCTTGAGTGAGTATGACTTACAGGCTCCTCCAACTTCGCTTTCCGTAAGCCCTCCCCCCCTCCCCCATCTTTCTATAGCAAATTTGAATTTTTCCAAAGTGAACTGATGGTCCACCCGGTCTACAAATAAATTCACATTTCTCTGAGCCAGCATGTTCCAGCTGATCATCTCTTTGACCGAGGATCAACTTTGGGCAAACTGCCTGAGTTTCTTCTGTTGTGCTTGTCAGCAGCTCCTTGTGCAAGTTGCACCACGCTTTCAAAAGGCTGCTGAGCTATGACTCCCACCGGAGTCAAAAGGAAATGTTCGATAAGTATGCCACATTAATCTGTTAAATCACCATGAACTGAGTCTACTCTACCTACTTCTGAAAAGCAAAGCAAAAATCTTTTCTAACTCTTCAAAGTGAACCTTGGCAACCACGCTCTTCAAGCCAGAGCTAGAGATGATGGATGGAC